GAAAAAATATCTTATTTAATTTTAGCGTTTGTACTTTTGACGCTAACCAGAGAATGGCACTTCTATCGTGTTTTATGCATACGAGTATGTACTTGTGGAATCGGTTTCGATGTTAGCTTGATATTTCTTAATCGAAAGTAACTTTGTAACAACCAGTAGCGGATTCAAAATTTCTTTCTAAAGGGGGTTTCCCTCCAAACTATTTTTAATAATGATGTTATTTCGTAAATTTTTTCTGAATTTAGTTTAAAATTTTTTTCCGCGCTCTGATCTTATGATAGCAGCGGACTCTTTGAATCGATCTATTAACTACAAGTATATACATTATTGAGCAAACTATCCTTCTCCGATATTGGATTTTTGGATCCACCACTGGTAACAGCTGTAGCACACACTTTTAAGTTGAACTTGTGTGTGTTTTCGTGAAACACTCATTTTCTTAAATCGATATATCAGACTTTAGTAGTTGCCTTTTAGTTAGCACCAACCTTTAAAAGACACAAGTATAAATTTGATTTGTAGGACAATTCGATTATGATATATTGCAATACGCAGGCGTTAGTATTTTGATTAAAAAAACTTTCGTGTGTAAATAAAACACTATTTTCGATGAAAAACCCTCTACCAATTTTTAAAAATACCTGTATCGATGTAATTCGCCATATGGCAATTACGAAGCAACATTTTGTAAGAGCTGTGTCCGCAAGCAATATGAAAACCGAAGATGATGAACGCAGTGGATTTTCAAAAGATTAATTTGAATGACCGAAAAAACTCTGACAATCTAAAAATATTAATGAATATTATTGGACTGATCGTTTTCCAATATCTGTATCTGTGTATGCGGTAGACGTACATATGTAAAAGAGATGCGAGCTCACAATCGAGAGAATGCACATCTATCTGAAATCAATGATAGCAAAGTCTAAACTGCTCCGAATTGCCTTCGTATCCACCGTATTCGCATTATACAATATAAAACATTCACGATCATTATTATTTAAAATATTTCGTGTTTAGTAGAATTGAATTAATTTATACGTTCCGGTAAAAATCAACCGGAAGTTCGAAAATATTTTAACTAGTTTTAGAGCACAAGAGCACGCTGTCATCTCAAAATTATTGTCTCCAAATTTCAAAACTATATTTAACAGTTTGACCAATATGCGCACAGGTTTAATGTGTAGGTCTTTGAAAAGTTATGGTCCGATCTCGACCAAATGAGGCGTTAGATGACATACCTTGAGGGCGGTATTTGGGCAAAGTTTTATTCTGATAACTTAATTGGTGTTTGATTTGTATGTTGTAAAATGAAAAAATCTGACGGAATTTAAAGATTTGTTAAATGTAAAGTAGGCGTGGTTGTCATCGGATTTCCGGGTTTTTATAGTGTATTATAGGAATATTTGGGTAATCTCACGCACCAAATTTGGTTGAAATCGGTCAAGTGGTTGCTGAGATATGTGATTTCACCTAAAGGTGGGCGATGCCACGCCCATCTTCCATTTTTTATTCCTACTCCTGAAGGTATTTTATACCACCTTGGTTGTAAAATTTAAAGCTTGTGACGTATTTATTCAGTGAGTTATCGAATTTTTAGTAGTTTTCAACATAAGTTTTATGAAAAGTGGGCGCGGTTATTATCTCTAGTTTCGCAGAGTATGAAGAGATGCTTCCTACTGCTGAAGGTATTTTATACTACCTTGGTTGTGAAATTTAAAGCTTGTGACGTATTTATTCAGCGATTTATCGAACTTTAGTAGTTTTCAACATAAGTTATATGAAGAGTGGGCGCGAATAAAGGAAAGTCTGATATATGCTTTTTACTCGTATGAAAGCGGAAAAGTATGTAGAGCTTTTGGAAAGTGAGCTTATCCCGTTCGGCGAAGGACTCTATGGCGAAAACTGGATATTTCAACAGGACAACCAATACATGTAACAAAGTACACAAAGGCTTTTATCGAAACACATAACATACCCTTCTGGAGTGGCCTGCCCTTAATCCAGATCGTAATCTAATAGAGGATCTATGGGGCAAAAAACGCATTGAACATATAGTTAGCTATTTCTCTAGGGTATGTTCAGTAAACCATTTAGAGGGTGTGGCCGCGCTTACTTTTTAGTTCACAGGTGTCCCACGCTACTGTGATCGCTTGTACCAAATTACAGTGTATCTTAATTCAAAGCTTAGTTATGGCACTTTATATGAAAAATTATTTTTGAAAAATTACCGATTTGCAATACTGACCCCCCTTGGGTACCAAGCAACAGATTCACCAAGTTTCATTAGGATATCTTGATTTTTACTCAAGTTATCGCTTGTTCTCTGTTGTAACATAAAAACCTGGGCCCGGAATTCTCCAAAACATTAAGTAAATAATTAAAAATTATAATACTTTTGATAAGTGATTAATTCGAACATTTATTTATTACGTTAAACGTGACTACCGATAAAAGAAAGTTTTTTTGCTTTTGTAGATTATCACGAAAAGGCCGGCAAAGCTGTTGTCGCTTTAATTTGCAAAGCGATGGAAAATTAAAACATTTCTTTAGAAGATTTCGACGATAATGGTAGTAATATAACCGTAAATATGAAGGAGCGCAAAATCACACCCACACGCTCACAACGTTAGGAAATTCTGAAATCCGTCATGCCATTTGGCAAAAAATTTTCCCGGATTGATAAACACTTTGAGACAAGTTAAAAAACTCAATCTTACCGCAGAAACTCGTCGGGACGTTAAAAGAATTTTGAAATATATGAACAAAATTGAATGCGTTTTGATTCCTCCATATGGTTTTAAATCCTTTAGTGAATCAATGAAAGAAACTTGGTTTTACAAGAGATCAATTCCCTCATCGACGCTGAAGTTAGAAATATAGACTGCCAGTTTTATGTAATAAAATGTATAATGTCTGTGTGATCATAATTCTTTTTATTTATAAACATAGTACGAAAAGTACAATTAAAAAATATTTAGAGTACTGGCACAAACTACTATTCAATTGCAATAGAGAAGAAAGTAAATTCAAAAGAAATCGTTCTCATTTCTATGGCAGTTCATGATTAAAATCCAAAAAAGGATTCCGTTGATGTATCTGAAAAGTTGTCCAACGAAACTATTCACTTCAGACACGTTTGCACGATGCCAATTTTCAAACCCGTCTTACTCCATACATAAATACGTGAACGTTCGTTTAGTGCTTTAGCAAGGACCAACCACTTTCAAGGGCAGGATTTCCGGACTAGCTACACTGTGCCTTGAGGCACAATAAGTTCCAAAAAATTTAAGATTGAAGGATTTATCTATCTACTCGTATGAGCCAATTCATTCATTATTTATTTTCAAAAGCGTACCACCCAAAATAAACAAGAAAGCAAATTTATTGGGTTAGCAACTTAGTAACTGCGAAGTTTTTTTTTTTTAAATCAAAGACAATTTTTTCATGGAACTAAATAACTTTATTCTGTAATGTATTGCCCATTTTGATCAATAACCTCTTGCCATCTTTTCAGGCAGCATCATAATCCCACGTTCATAAAACTTCTGGTTTTTATTAGCAAAAAACTGAATCAGCTACGATTTGACATCATCATCATTATTGAAATTTTTACCATTCAAGGAGTTTTGTAAAGATCGAAACAAAAAGTTATCCGATGGTGCAAGGTCAGGACTATATGGTGGATGTGGCAAAACATCCCAACCAAGCTCCAATAATTTTTGCCGAGTGACCAAAGATGTGTGTGGCCTTGCATTGTCATGATGGAATACAACACCTTTTCGATTTATCAATTCGGGCCGCTTTTCTTCAACTGCATTGTTTAATTTCGTTAGCCGTTCAATGTAGACAACAGAATTGATCATTCGGTTGGGTGGTAAGAGTTCAAAGTAGACAATTCCTTGATAATCCCACCAAGCTGATAACAACCCCTTCTTTTGATGAATACCTGCCTTTGATGTTGTTTGAGCTGGTTCACCTGGCTTGCTCCACGATCTTTTCAGCTCGATATTGTTTTAAACAACCCATTTTTGATCACCAGTTATCATTCGTTTCAAAAATAGATAATTTTCATTACGTTTCTTTAGCAAATCACAGCTGTTAATGCGTTTCTCTTAGTTCGTGAGGAACCCATGTATCGAGTTTTTGAACATAGCCAAGTTGTTTTAAGTGATTTTCAATGCATGTATGTGGTACCTGAAGCTTCTCTGCAATCTCACGTGTTGTACTGTGACGATCCGAATCGATTATTGCTTTGATTAGGTCGTCATAAACTTCAACTGGACGACCAGAGCGTTTTTCATCTTTGAGTGAAAAATCACCAGAACGAAATTTGGCAAACCAATTTTACACTGCCGTTCTTTTATGGCTTCGTCGCCATAAACAGCACATAACTTTTTGTGAGCTTGCGTTGCGTTTTTCCCTTTGCGAAAATAAAAAAGAAAAATATGACGAAAATGTTCCTTTCGATCTTCCATTTTTCAACGAACGCCAAACGAAAACTACGCAACCGATCAAAAACTTTTTTTTTTACTGATTGACAGCTGAATTGCCAGCTATCAAATAACAAAATGTGTTTTACATTTGGACTACGCCGGCAAACCTAAAAATTCAACTGAAGCCATCTAGGAGTGAAATCCGCAATTACTTAGTTGCCAACCAAGATTAAAACACTACGTCGTATTTGACTTATTCTTCAATAATTCAAGTAGTAAGTGGGAAGATAGTTAATAAAATTTAAAAAATATTAGAAACGTTTCTGTAGATAGGGGGCCCACCTTTTTACCCCTGGACCATATAATGAAATAATGATTGGAAAAAGTACTAAGTACAGTTAAATCTGGTTAAGAGAGAATTCAAGGGACCGTGATTTTTTTCTCGCTTATAGAGGTTACTTACTAATGCTCTCACTAAAACTCTCTATAGCTAGCTCTCTAGCTTATAGAGGTACAGAAGAGGTTTGTCTCACTTACAGAGGTTTATCAATGACATTCAAAATATTTAGTTGTAAACTTGATAAAGAATAATTTATTAGAGTGATTACAAAGTGATTATTAAAATGCGTAAATACAAAGTAGCAAGTAACAGGTAAATTTTATTTTAAAAAATCAATCAACGTTTTTTGTGTCTCTAATTTTATACTATGTGTATGTCAACCGCCGAGTATTCAAAAAATTTGTGGAGCGTCTCCAAAATCTTTAAAGCTTCTTGCTTTTATGGCTTATTTTCAATTTCTCTATCCGAACTCGGTGACTGATCAGCATCATCGTCCCTTTCATTCACGTAAGCTACGCAATTTTGAATGATTTCATCTTCGGTGAATTCTCTACACATTATAAGTTGTTGTCAGAGCTGTACTGTTCGTTGCTATATATACTTCACAGGATCATTTCTGTAGTCAGTCTTCATTTACTTTCTTTGCGTTGCAAATGATAATTATGAACTGCAGTGAGAGTGACAAATAAGTTAATACAGTTATTATATTATTATCTTGAATACATGAAAACAACATAGTTTCTGATTCCTAAAAAAAAGAATGAGTCATACATAAACAAATTGTCGCTTATAGAGGTAAATACAAAAGAGGCTCTCAGTTATAGAGGTCAGATTGGGAAAAACGACTGTCACTATGGAGGTTTTTTTCTCCCTCATAGACGTTTTTGTGAGGTCAAACTTCAGGACCCGAGAATTATTCTCACTTATAGAGTTTTCTCGCTTACCCAGTTCTCTCTTACTCAGGTTTGACTATATTTCTTTTTTACATCCATAAACATTGACAATCATTTTATTGTTCATTTGACCACCAGTGATGAGAGTACTAAAGAATTCAGCCATTTCTTTCTTACATACACTATATATGGTATTATAAATCGTTTTTAACAATCACCAGTGAACTAACAAATGTGTGTGCATTGGTGAAACAATCAGCCGTTTTTTTTGTGGACCATGATTCACTTTAACTGTTTGCTGTTTTTTGGCGCAATCACCACGTGGCAAATCCCTCACTATCAAAATTATTCCATTAAATTAGCGATAGTGGTAAGCGGAGAGCAGGAAATATGATCTCATCGATATTTAAATTCGGAGAACTAAAAAATTTTGATAAAAATTCATACATATATATGTATGTATATGCATATACAAATGAAGTATAGTACATACACATGAAATTATTGAAAGTATTAATCGAATTCCTATCTTCGCAGTTATATTTTACATATATATTAATTTTTGAATTTTTACGATTCAATATTTAATGTTTTTATTTTTTCAAACATAGGTACATATTATATGATTGGTTTGCGGTCTCATAAAAAATGTGCGTCCTTATCTTTCTCCAAAGTTTTCATCGGGGACCGATGAAGCTACTCAAATGAATGGCTTACGACAGTGGAAAACTAGTCGAAATTTAAATTAATATGCTTGGAAAAATGTATTTTAGTAGTTTTACCGACCTTTTTCGAAATCAAATACAAACGATTTTTTAAGCCACCATATTTTTTAACCACCAGATTCTTATTAAATCCGAAATATTCCATAAAAAACATTCACAGTACACGGTCGGTGGCTCGTGACATATGATTTGGGTCTGCTTCACCACGTTAGCTATGGGTCTGCTGAAGATCGATGAAAAATTAGCATAACGACAATTATAATCCAGTAACTTTCCGCAATAGTAGTGTAAGTCATTATTGATTGGCAAGTCAGAGCACAATGAAATATTCTGATTTTGTTTATTTAAATAATTTTGAATTCTGAAAACAAAAGGTCTATTGATTGATTTTCAAGTATTGATATTTGATTGATTATTAAAAACAACATTTTATATATTTCTTGCTAAGTTATGCCAATTTACGTTTATTTATTTCCTTCTGAGTTTTTTCGTTCTTTGTAGAGTTACTTGCTCTTGATATTCCTGATAAATTCATGAATGAAGTTGATTAAAAGAATAATAGGTGAAAACGCCCTGTTAGTAGCTGCTGAAGAAGACAACATCACCGGGTGTCAACAACCGGGTGTTAAAAAAAACAATTAATCAATAATTTTATTATGTATGAAAAATATAAATTAAAATCTCATTTATATTACTTAAATCAACTCAGCTATACTATGATTTACATTCTAAATACAGTATTTTAATAATTTCACATAGTAATATTTTTGCCTTTCGGAACACAACTCTGTTTTCATTCTGACAATAGTGTGTCGAAACTGGGCCACACTGTTTGTATATACGTTCTCTGTTCTGTGTTTGCCACCCGCCACCACCCTGCAATATCTTAAATACACAAACAACAATTGCAACAAAAACACTGAATGTAATACAGCCCCAATCGCCCATCTCGCTGTGGCGTATTTTTGTGGGGTTCGTATTGTCGAGTCTTCGGACAATTTTCTGAACATAGTTTTTCATCTGCTCGGAAATGTTGATTTTTCTTGTAGAAAACGTAGAAATAATTTGAAATTTGTGCCAAAATTACTCAATATATTCAGTACAATGTGAGATAAGTGCAGTACAGTGATTTGAAATGTAATATGATGAATAAACCTACGAAATATTGTCAACAAAATTACACGCAGGTGCGTATATTGCACGCAGACGTGATAGACGTTTCGATTTTCCCTATTGAGTTTGATCTGCTCCCACGGAAAAAGGGAGTAAAACTACACATATACATATATGTATATATAAATTAATATGTTTAAAAAATGCTGCTAGTGATAAATAGAAGTAATAAATATTATGCCGTTTGTGTTTTTGGTGCTTGAAAAAATTCTGTATGGGCACGAATTGTCAGGGATGCTTGAGCATACGGTCCGTCAGGTTCGTCCAAAGCACAAACTCGGCGAGGTGCGGTAGTATATTTTTCTGGTTAGATAACCGATTGCACTTGTTGTGTATTTCAATTTTTTTATGCTTAGTGGACGCTGGGTTTGCACAGAAATTTTAACAATTTACACCGTGTCAGCATTTATTATCGTAATTGTTAAGTATATTTAGTGTTCGTTGCTATTGTTGTGACTGTTATTCTAAGACTGTCATAGAGCGCTATCGACGTTACTCTGGGTGCGCTGTGTTTTATGTTTGGTCCGGCGCGGCACCGCTTGGCGGTTCTGCGAATGTCCGGAATTCATGCATGCTCAATGAAGACTCACAATTAATTACATACATACTTGTTAATATATATGTATATATACAAATAATATTTGCATTAAACAATTGTGCTTGTAGTAATTATACATAATTTAATAATAATTTTTATAGTGTAGTTTGAAAATGAGATAACTTTGATTTAAAAAAAATAGTAGTATACCATATTTATATATAAATGGATGTATGTAGTACATACATATTTCTACGCATCTGCTTGTGCTTATCAGGTGTTAATGTGTGGAAATATATACAGCAAATATACTAACGATTATATTGGTGTAACTAATACCCTGTAGGAAAGCAATAGTATATATGATACAAGATATGTAAACATATTACACTTTTTATACCCTGAACTAAGTTTGCCACGAAGTTTGTAACATCCAGAAGGAAACTTTGGAGGCTCCATAAAATAATGTATATAAATGATCAGCATGACGAGTTGAGTGAATTTGGCCATGTCCGTCTGACTGTCTGTATATACGCGAACCACTCCCTCAGTTTTCGAGATATATATTACAAATTTTGCATACGACCTTTAATTCCCAAGAAGTTGCTCATTTGTCGGAATTGTCGATATCGGACCATTAAAGCATGAAGCTCTCTTACAAACTGAACCATAAAAATCATGCCCTCTAACTTGGTTCAGGTGGTTCAATATAAAAACACCCTATTGTATTTGGAGCTATGCTCTAGATAAACTTACATATGTATGTACAATATATACATATACATATGTACATACATACATATTTAATATATCAATTAAAAACGGGATTTTAACACTTTATAAATTATTGGTCTTTGCTAATTACCACTAGTTGTTGTACCATGCTTAGGGACTATTTTTTTATACAATCTAGAAGTTAAATACATAGTCTACATTTGTACAAGCATATTGTTTGGCAATAAAATAAAACAATGTTTCGGATTACAACAAGACAAGGATTAGTTGAAATATATTTATGTATATTACATACACACTTACAATCTCACCGAAACATTTCTTGCAAACGAAATGAATATAATTGTATCTTAGGCATAAGCAATTCATGACCTTGAAAAGCCTATTAAATAGAAATATAAATTCATTCATGCTTCATTAAATCTCGTTTTGTTTTGTTTTTGCAATAGCATAACATAAATGCTAGTCCATCTAGTGCAGTTACATTATAGTCTATTATTCCTTAAAAATATTATTCCTTTATGATTACTTTAATTGCATATTTCCATTTATTTATACTCGAATTTGTACTTGCAGAGTTTTTAGTGTGTTATTTTATCCTAATAAACCAAGGTCCTTTAAGGGGGTGGGAGGTGGTATAAGATTAATTCGTAAAAAACGCACATGTTTGTGTGACGATGTATTGACGATGAAATTCCATAAATAAACCAATTAAAGTACGACATTCGAGAATGTTGTATTGTTTTCACTAAAAAATATTTAAAAATCCAAAATCAGAAAATCTAAGGGTACGTTTCGCCAACTCTCTACATCTAGTATGAAGCGCGATATCAACTAATTTGTCGAATATGACAATGGTCAAATTTCGGTCAGAAATATACCAGTTCCATAAATTAGATACATAACTTATAGTATAATCTATATTCTATATTCTGGCTTTGTTCAGGTGTTTCGTGGTTTTATATATATAAAAAAAATTGAATTTGAACGACGGGATAATTTTCTTTCTGAACAAAATTTCTTAAAAACTACAAACTTAATACTTTTCTCATTAGTTTTATTTTAGACCAGAAATTCTATTTGTGAACTGATACACAACAACAATTCTTATTTGATATTGAGTATTTGGATATTGGAGTATCAACTATGGACAGAGAACGTAAATGAATTCATTAACATTCTCTGCTTTTGTTCTTCTATTTCCAGTTGGATATAGTTCATAGGGGTTGAAAAATTTTCCAGTCAGAGAGTGAAAAAGAGAGAGTAAGCTACCCTTGTGACAGCGCTTTCCCAGCAAACAAGGTTACATACATACATAAATGCTCACATGCAGATTTATGTATGAACTAGAGTTCTGGGTATTCGAATAACCGGATTAACCGGATAGGACATTACTAGAATAATAATATTCGGATAGTCGTAAGTCGTTGACTATTCGATTAACCGCTTATTTTCGACTATCCGGTTAACCGTTCGTTGTCGACAATTCGAATAGTAAGCGTCATTCATTTTCTTATTTTTATTGAAAAAGTGAAATATTCAATAATAAAATTTTGTGCACAAATCAAATGCTGCTTGGATTTCAAGCAATTTTTATTTATGTATGTATTCAAATACTCGCAGCAAAGCAACTATTCGAATAGTAATTTTAAGAAGAAACAATTTTGGTGCACTGGTAAAAATGTATAAAAACCATGTATTTCGTATAATGCTATTCTTCAAAGGAAGAAAGATAGGATAAGAACATTTCACCTTACAAATTGAGAATAAAGTCATTTCTTTTCAGCGAAAATACTCAAATTATTTTTTGGATTTTTAACAGAGAAACATAAAAATTCATGTTAAACATGCATGTATGTATTTAAAACTTCTTCTTTTAAAATAATTCCTTAAAATACAGACAAAAATTTGCATAAACAAAAAGTTAAAAGTTAAATATGAAAATCAAAACAAATTATTAATTAAAATTCCCGCCTTAGTCGGGTCTGCGTAAGGGGAATGGAGCTCGACAGCATTCTATAAAATTGTTTGAAGAATATTTTTTCCGGTACAAAAATAATATTTATCAGTGAAAATCTTATTTTTTCGTTAATATTGCTATATTTTTGTAAATATATATTTTTTTTAAGATTTTCATGAGAACGAATTTTAAAAAAGCTATGATTGTATTTATATTTTTATATATGTATTTATAATATGCATGTATGTATTTGTGTATGCAAACATTTGTAGATATGCATGTGTGAAATCTATGAGTTTTGAAGGGTAGGTACAAAGGCTCGATTGTTTACCCCCTTACCAATGAATGGTAGCTGGTGGAAGAAAGTCGCTCTCAGTCAAGTACAGTTTTCCAATTGGAAATTCCACACGCAAGGTAGTACATTGCACGACATGTGTACATATGCGTGTGTATTTAATATTTGATGTCGAAAACAACCTCAACAGTGCCACGCAAACGCACGCAGTGCTGCGCTGTGTTGGCCAAATATTGGTGGCGGCAGGAAAACGGCGCACCAATAAAGTACATAAGCCTCTATCGTGTGTTTCCGTGACCAAGTGAGTGCATTTAAGTCATTCACCCTGAGACCCATGCGCCGTAGAGCTCGCACCAACGCTGACTCGACCGGCGCTGTAAGGCTTTGTGCCGCGCTGCGCTGCAAGTGTTCTAGATATTGATTTTTCGTTTGCGCTTGGTTAGTTCACTTTTTCGATACTCATAAATGAACATATCCATACACACAAGCATAAAAATCAACAAATAAGCATAAAAACGCGTCTAAATAAAAATCGACCATATGCACAAACATACATAGGTATACACACACATATGAGTATGTATATATATATTTAAATTTGTTTTTCTGCGAGTGGGCTGTTACTTCGTTGGCTGAATAGCTCTGTATCAGGCAGTGCTTTGGCGCTGTGGGAGACGTTCTCCACATGCTCCATCGCCCGTTTGTAGCTCGTAAAAATATACGTAAGTATGTAAGTTCCGTATGTTTGTACATACATGTGGAGTGTATGTAGGTTAGCATGTTTGAGATGATTTTTATTTACAATTTTCAAAAATAATACGCGGACCGGCGCACATGAGCAGTGCAAGCCAACAGAAGCCAACAACGAATAAACTAACGTTCTCGCAATTCATAGATATTTCATTTAAATCTTTTTAGATGTCTTAAAATAGAAAATACTCAAAACTTCTTGACGCAAATTAAAGAAATAATATGGAAAAATATCAAAAGATAAAATCATCTAATATATTAGCTCAGTATTCGGCGCAGACCGCATTAATTGGCTGGAAGAGTTTCTTGCATAGCTTTTGCGCAATATGCATGTTGCAACTACTGGCCATGTGTCTGCTTACAATAATACAAACATTATATATATGTAAGTGTGGACCCTCGTGTGCCTTGCAAGTTGCATAAGCCGATTTTGATTACTCTCTGGTTCGCATGTTTGTATGTATCTGCTTTTGGCTCCTGTCTAGAGAATAAATGCAGCCTCGCTCATAAGGCACTTGTAACCGCAGCATACATACACACATACATGTTCATGTGTGTGATTCTCACCTACCACCGAACAACGCGTCGCGCAAGCTTAAAGCTCATGTGATACCCAGTGGGAGTGGATGAACAGAGCGGTCAGCCACACGAGTGCCTTAAGGGTGCAGTGCATGCGCCATTGCCTTATGTTGTGAGGGTTGCTAAAATGGGGTGGGTGGTAGAATACAAGTAGTCGGTGACGGCGCTGCTGCATTACAATCGTTTTATACCGTACGAGTCCCCAGTAGCAGAGACAGCAGCCGTTCGGCGAGAGCGCGGCCGACTATGCTGACGCATGACAATATTGATTTTTC